GGGCCTCGAGAAGCATAACAATTGAGGTGTCAAAATTTCTCCAAGATAACGTTGCCAAGACAGAAAATCAGGACTCCAATCTTGTTCTTCAAAAACTATACGAGCAGAAATTGCCTTTCCCTAAATTATATGCACTGTCTGCAAGCGTTGCCACATTCGGTTCTAGTACCACTGTGTGTGAAAGCAGCTTTTCAACTCTTACTCGCGTTGACTCACCACAACGACGATCTATGACTCAGCTTCGCCAGCGCAATCTTGTTCTTCTTGCCTTCAACAGGAAGCGTACCCAGAGAATTAACTTTGACGTATTTGTTCAACGTTTTGCCATACAACATACCCGACTACGTTTAAACTAAAGCGGCAATACAAATGTAACGTATTATAACTTGTGTGTTTTAACAAAAATAATCTCGAATCTAAAATACTCCATGAAAGTCCGTTTCCCGACGTTTAATCGTCTGTTAAGGTGCTTTGCTAAATTGCCCTCCTCGATTGCACGTTTGCCCTCCCTAGGAATACAGGTCAGGCTACGGGCCTGCTCACACCCCCTCAGCATTCAATCTTAGACCGTGGACTTAAGTTTATTCCGACACCGAAGGTAGCCAACTTAAATTATCTCCGACCATCCATTGAACGATTTCGACGAAATCTTAGTTGCACATATTTTTTTCGAAACCACCCCCACGTGGTGCTAGAACAATGTTTCTCTCTAAATCCACGTGGACACCCCCTCAGGCCGTCATCCATCCTGAAATAGTGAAAGCATTTGAGAGTATGAATAGCCAAACAGAGAATCTTTCCATAACACACGAAAAGCCTAATCTCACACGAGTGGAAAGTGAAGCTTTTTGACAAAACACTAATATATAAACTTTATTTGGCACTACGGGACTACACAATGTGAATATGAAATTACATAATTGAATAATGAATAATGGAAGGGTGAAACCCTTGATAAATTGTGAACGGATGATCTAAGCAGAAAAGAACATCTCATTAATGAACTAAAATTTAAACCCCTACTACTTCGTTAAACTTACGTAAGAAAGAGGATAGCATTGTGATTAAAATGGGTGACAAAGGCTCATGTTGTGTCATTCTGAATAGGGAGGATTACGTTTCAGAAGCAGAGACTTAACTGAATAATCTAAACATTATACCATTTTACCGAAATCAATTTTGAAAGAAACTGCTAATATGATTAACAATATTCTTGCCGATTTAGTCAAAACTAGTTATCTCAAACAGACACAATATCACTATCTTTCTGGCAAACCTGATTGTCGTGAGAAACATTTATACACTTTGCCCAAGATCCATAAAAATCCAACCAAGGAGTGGTTTATCTCAAACAAAACCCCTAAAAGCCGCCCGATTATATCTGACTGTGGAAGTGAGTCGTATGCAGTGTCAGAATACATTGATCATTTCTTACTACCTCTAGCATGTCAACAGCGCACCTACCTTAAAGACACAACCGATTTTGTCAATGAAATAAAAAAATCTTCGAGTTCCTTCTAATGCTATTTTACTTTCTGTCGACGTTTCTTCTATGTATACCAATATCGATAACACTGCTGGTTTAGCGGTAGTTCGTAATAGAAATCCAGATCCAAACAGACCCGGCGATGCAATTCTACAGCTCTTAGAGATTTGTCTCAGTCGAAACGATTTCACATTTAATGGTAAAACATATTTACAAACTTCAGGGACAGCTATGGGCAAACGATTCGTACGCAAACCTTTTCATGGCAGAGTGGGAACATGAGGTATTGCCCCTCTGTCCATTTAACCCACTTTTTTACGGACGCTATTTAGATGAAATTTTTATGGTTTGTACTTTTTATTTGGACGAAACATAACAAAAAATTCACTTTAGCACAGATAACAGCTAAAACAGGCTTTATGCCGAAATACCTCCAGGTTTAAGGAGTGCTCCGTGTCCAGTAGATGCAAAACATGTCCCTTATCAGAAACTCATTATTTTCTAAGTAGTACCCCAAAAAGTACCCGATCCAGGAACATCTAACATGTGAACATTCAAATGTAATATATTTAATTCCATGTTAGAATGCTCTCAGGTCGGATATCAAATTAAAGAAAGACATGCCTGTTTCTAATCATTTCAACCTCGACGACCATTCAATAGACGATCTCTGTCACAGGAAGAACGGACGGAACGGAATGCTTAGAACTTCAGAATCACCCCAAAGAAGACTCAATAATAAGAGATATAGATTAACAAATTTACTTAGCCGGCAACAACACATACATATTATACAAATTTAACAACAATAAACGTAAAAATATCCACAACTACCCCCCAATTTCACTTCATGATCATCCTCTTCAGCTATCTTGCGATTACTCCACTGCTAATAAAAGTTCGCCTGTAAGATTAAGATTTGTCCACCATCATAAGTGCAATTACATTACGATCTCAGTTGGTAGTTTATCAACTGGCACATCCGTAAACAATATTACACGTAACAGATATCAATTGATTAAAGGTTACACAATAACCACACATAGGGATACAGATTACACCATAACAAAAGGTTGGTCGTCTACAGTCGTGTCTCCATAATTCGTTACTAGTATATCAGTTAGACACTATCGACCATTTTCATTGTGTCCCCCAAGACTAGTCGAAGTCTACATTACAAAAAGTAGAGCTCAGGAAACTAATGGATTTCTATCAAGATACAGTCTCCTTTAAAGAGAGGTTACACCAAAAATCTAACACGACTTTGTGACAATCTCACCCTTATCGGAGACAAAAAATTCGTTAAGGGTCCGTTTCAACCATCATAAGTCTGACATCAACTTAAAAAGAATTCATAAAACCGTTTCAAAACACTTCAATCAACCCGATCACCAATTAACAGACCTGAAAATCATTCCCATTGAACAGATATACGAACAACCTGGCATTGATTCAAAGAAAATTATTGGATAAACAAATTACAAACCATGCATCCTTTAGGAATGAACATCCAAGTTGATTTCCAAATTATACCTTTTGTTATTCAATACAACAACACAGCTGGTCAAGTTCCCCGAATAATTATCCGTCTTTACAAAGAATTGCAGGAAAAATTTCCAACAGTCTTTACAAATGATTTAGTTATCGCCTATACCCGTAATAAAAATCTAAATGATATCTTAGTCCGTGGTAGATTATCCCCCATGCCCCTTCCATAGGTTTAGTACATTTCCTTTAATTAACAATTCTTATTTATGATAACTTGCAATTGAAGAGTTTCCTCGCAAAAATATCATACATGTATACTATTTTCACTTAATAAATTATATATATTTTTTATATGAAATACGAATTTTCCTTTTCATTTAATATAGGACAATTCCTCAGTTTCACCAGTAAAAATATTTATCATGATTTCCATGGTTATTAATGTTCCTGTTGGAACCAGTATTCTTCTTATATATTTCAGATTCGGAAGATAATGGATTTGCATTTCAAATATTCTATATCATTCTTTTAAACTAACTTCACAAACATTGCTCTATCACTAGGTTATGCCTACATGCCTGTGTCTGTGCTTTCGTAACATTGCTTAACCGCAATATTACAACCTTTCCCAATTGAGCGTATAGAAATTGACTTACCTGAAGATAAAACTACCAAATTCCGTCAAGCTAGGGAAGCCCATTTGATTGAGACATTGAATACAGAAAGACCTGTGGGACTAAATATTCATCATAATGTAGTCATAGCACCCTTTGTTGTCCCTTTCAATACAACCAGCAAAAGATCAAGCAAGATAGTTCATGCCCACTATAAGAGCCTTCAAGAGAAATTCCCCCATGTCTATAAGCAAAAAATGATAGTTGCATGTTCAAAAAATAAGAACTTAAATGATAATATTGTTCATAGTAAACTAAAAACAATCAGTACATAGCAGATACTATACTTCTATAATCAGAACAGAAAAAAGCCCAACATCAGGAGTCTTAATCCTAATTTCTAAATAAAGTATCTGTTCCACCCTAGGCCTGTACATTTGGTAGAATCAATCCCTCCCTTCCCCGAAATCAAACTCAAAAAGTGATTACATTTTGTTCTTATATAATGATGACGCAAAGAAGGAGAGGAAAGTACCCAACAGTAATGATGTCATAAAGAGGATTCCCCTTTTCTGGCATCTTGCCAGCTGTCCGTAGCCGCCCGCAAACGCAAAAAGCACTGATCCGTTGCGCTTACGGTGGTGTTGAGTTTGAGAACAAAAACTTGAAAAAAAAAGTCTGCGTTTGATAATTCGATAATTCACACGCATTCTGAATCAGGGTCTTTTTAACAAAAGCACCTGTTGTTCTGTCAACCATTGAAATTGGGCAGAAATAATAATTTACTTATGACTTTTATCGAAATTCTGTAACGTGAAAAATATATGTTGCAATATTATTAAATAATTTGTTTAATGAAGCATGTAAAAATCTATTCAAATTTAAAATAATTTTGATTAAAGTGACGAATGCGCCTTTTTAGGTCGTGGGGGGGGAGGGGGGGGGGGGTGAATATTATGTAAATAGTCTTCTGAAGTACTAGAAATGTGATAAAAAAAGCATAATCCCTTCAAAATCATGTGATACTTAGAATTTTTTTCGTATTTGTCTAGATGTCTTTTCTATATTATGGTAGTGTCTCATGAAAAGACGACCCGCATATTAACATTCAAACAAATAAGCGTTTCTGAGCCTACAGTAGGGCATATGATTGGTAAAAAAACGGCGCATATTCTGTCTATTTCAAATTTCTTTCTTTTTAATTCAAGATTTTTTGTGTTATATATATATATATATAAAAAAATAGCAAATTAAATCTAAAATTTGAACAATGAAATTAAATTTAAAAAAATTCAAAGTTAACAGTTGGTGTAATCATATTAAAATTATTTTTAAAGTAAGAAAAAGTCATTAAATTGATTCATTAATAATGTATATAAACAACTGATTTATATTGAAAGCCTCACTTTATTTTCGTTCTAAGACCAACAACAGTGATATTAAAAATGGCATCTTGGCAATTCATTCTAGTTGGCGTTTTAGCCGCCGTAACTATATCTTCAGCAAGAGGTGAGTAACTTATTGGACTTTTTTATTTGGAAGCCGACGATTATATCAGCTGGAAACAAGGAAACTGGCGAAAATGCGATAAAATGGAGGGGGGTAAGGTGGGGTGGGGTGGGAAATGAAATGAAATGAAATGAATCGAGTTTTGCACCTACTTTTCTGCACCATGTGGGCTAGTGAAGACGGACAAAACCATGCAGGATGCAACGAGCGAAATTTTGTCAGGACATTGGCATTAGCCAATCTGTCGAGGGATCTTTAACTCGCGCAGGATGTTGCACACGAAGCCTCGGTTTAGTGTCCCATCTGAACGACTAGAGGCTTTTCCATTAGCCTACTCGCATCCCTGACAGTGGTTTGAAAAATCTGAAGGTTTCATATTGGCCTATGTCGGGATTGAGACCTGGGCCTAGCAAGCGTCTAACCCACTGAGCTACGACCTACTTTTCTGCACCATGTGGGCAAATGAAGACAGGCAACGAGCGAATTTTGCCGATCGATCTTTAACCTGCACAGACTGTTGCACACGAAGCCTCGGTTTATTGTCCCATCTGAACGACTAGCCGTTTTTTTTCCATTGCCTGCATCCCTGACAGTGCCAGTGGTTTGTAAATTCCGACGGTATCATATCGAAACCTGGACCTTCGGGTTAGCGAGCAAGCGTCTGACCCAATGAGCAACCGCGGCTTAAATGTGTCAAAACATACCAGTATTTAAATAGAAAGCCTTATATGGTCAGCAGTTGGTTTAAATAGTAAGCTTATATTTTCTTTCAGGTAATGTTGACCGTGTTTAGTTTGCTTTCAGCTTTATTAACTCAGCCTTAAAATGAAAACAAAATATACCAGCTTCTGTACCTGACTATTTTATTTATTTATTATTTTTATAGATTGTACATATAACGATCAAACTTTCGCTGACGGATCTAAATTTAAATTACCATCAAGTGGTAATTGTATTGAGTTTACTTGTACAAATGGTGGATTTAGAGCCACCACAAAAGGTAACTATCAAAAACATACCTCTTTAGTTTGTTGGCATCGAGCAAGGCTCGAGATATATATTGAGAATCAGACACGTGTATAGATTTAAACTCTCGAGAAATATGAATGTACGGTAATAACATTTAACAATAAATGAAAAATGTATCTGAACAGGACAGAACTGAGCTGTTTACCTAGACATGATAATATTAACTGATCTAGCAGATAAAATGTTTGACCTGTAGGAACTGAAATGCAGTGTGGTGTGTATTTATTTTACTGAACCCCTGTTCCAAATGTCAACTGTGATTATAATATACAATATAATATACAGACTATTGTTTTGTTACTTACTCAAGATGCAAGTGTCCAATATTTCGCTCCTTCGTTTTAACTGTAACCATTACATTTTAGAATGTGAACAGGGTAGTTCATGCTTTCCACTTGGTCACGAAATTGTAAATGATTGTCGTAAAACGGTTTGCCAAGAAGGTGATGATAATTCAATAGCGTTTATCAACACAGAAATAAGTAAGTTTCTTGAACATACTTCGCATTGCTGTTCTATTGTACACGTTAAATTAGTTTGAGGTTTAGCGATGGTATCGGCGAGGAGAGGATGTAGAGGTGTTGGCGAATGTTGTCAATCATACCTTCTTACCAGGAGCTTCAAATTCTGTAGCTGCTGTGACCTTCTTGTAACTTGTAAACGTCTTCATTATGCAGTTGACGTATTTTGTCATTATTGTCCATTGATATATATTTTTTTTTATTTATGAGATCTGAGGCGAGTATTCTCTTGATTTAGCCACAATGTCAAAATTGTCTTATAAGTGTGATAGTGGCTTTAATTTTAACGAGACTTATTATGTATAGGTATGACAAACGAATTGTTGTTGTTTTCCTTGGCTTAAATTTCATTAGTTTATATCCAAAGCTAAAGTATATTGAGTAGATCTCGCAATTTTTCAATGAAAATAATGCTTAGGAATTACTACTCTTAAATAAGGTACAATGGATTGTTAAGGTGATAGATACCTGAGTATTTAACAGAGTATATATTATAATCATTACCTTTATTACTTAATAGAATGTTCAGGTGACGAGGGAAAATGTTTCAGTCCAGGAATAGAATTTACCAAAACTTATCAAGGAACAGTCTACTCAAAGACAACATGCACCGTTGAAGGAACTGATGTTAGTTATGCTTATCGTAATTAAACTGTTATTTATTCAATAAATGAAATAAATGTACCTAAAATGTCATAAATTGTTTATTAATTATGTGTTTTCCACGATATTAATCTCCCTGAAACATTATTTGAAAATAGATCCTTAGTCTGATTTATTTTTTTACGCCCACATCAAATGGAGGGGGGTGGGGCGTATATTGCCGTCACCCATTTCCGTCTGTCCGCCCGTCCACAATTGGTAAAAATCATTTATATTAGTACTAATTTGATTTCCATATTTCATTAAAATACTAGTCAAATTCGATTTATAGACAAAGGAACAAAGACGTTAGTGTCAGATATTGCCAATTTTGGATTTAGTATAAGCCCAAACGACTATTGTCTTAGCAAAGTGAAACATTTTTGATTTTTTTTTTATGAGAGTTGAATAGCATCCTCAAAATAGTACGGTTAATCTTAAAATGTCTTTGCTTTTATAAAAATATACATAAACCTTTAAGGGGCATTCCCCCACGCCACTGGTCGGGTGTTCCTTACTGACATTGTGCCTAATATGAGCTTGCCTAAATGAAACTGTGCATAATTGAAGGTGTGTCTAAATCACTGTGCCTATATAACGCTGTGCCTATATTATGTTATGTGCCCAAATCAACGGGTTCCTAAAAGAAGTGTCCCAAAGGTACTGTGTTTAACTGTGCTTAAAGTATTTGTGCCCTCATGACAGTGAACTCAATTTTCAGTCTAAATTTGTGATTGGTTGAAATATCTTGGAGGCATCTTTTCAATCTAAACTTATAAAAAGATATATTTTTATCAATGTAATCATAAAGACATTCTAAGACAAACAGTTTGGCTACTATTTTGAAGCTGATACTAATTCTCTTTAAAAATATACAAAAAAAACATTCTCAGACAATAAGCATGTCTGTCGTGTCACAAGCATCTCTTAAGTGTGGAAAATGCTTGATTCCGTTGCAATAATATTGAAAGAATTTAGGAACGAGTCCGCGAGAGCACCTGGCAAAAATCAAGAAAAGTGGTAAGGTGAGAAGTTGTACCAAAATCATGTCATAAGACCTCATAGGTGCTAGGAGTCACTGAAATGATTCATTCCCCAACCCCTTACAAACGAAGAAATCGAACACACATTTTTTTCATGAGAAAAATCATCGTAATTATTTTTAATCATTTTGTCCAAACTTCGCCCATAATGTATGAATAACACTTGGTACCCTCGGTCAGATTTTTTGTTTTGAATACCAATTTAGTTGAGCTCTAGCTCTGTCTTTGCAGGGCTGAAACCAACTGTAATGTTCGAATAGACCAACGGTTGACTTAAAAGTGCCAGCCAAAAAAAATTGAAGAACGCAGGTCACTGCATAGAAAAAGGCTTTTAAAAATTAAAATGATCTCAAATTTTAGGTCATATTTTTCTCACGTGAATGAAGACTTTCTCAAAATCTTCGAGAACAAATATAATTATGTCATAAATTACCTGTTAAAAAGGTTATTGCCATTCTGAAAGAAGAATGTAATCTGCTCAGTGACACCTTTCGAAAGCCTTTGCTGTGGTGAGAGAACTCGCCCTTACAGAAAATTATGTCAGAATGACTACCAACTGCTCGATTGGACGGTTTGTCCCCATGGTTCCATGCGGAAATCACCCTGCAAACAGTAATGAAACGACCGTCATACCACTGTAACAAGGACATTTCTGGACATTTGAAGCAAGTAAACCCCCAAAACAAAATATATCATGTGAATATGAACTGATTTTGTGCCAGACTGGTAATTTTTCTATAACAGATTTACCAATTGCCGCGATGGTAGCAAAACGTATTCAGTCTTACTACTCTTAGTTCAGCAAGGATGATTTGTTGAATTCTAGACAAATTGCCTCTTACTTTTCAAGATTGCAAAAATGTGGACGCCTAAATGCGGAATCAAATAAGCCTGCGACAACTATGGATGTGGAAAATAACGACTGTAATATAATAAGAATATTAAATAACGGACACAATTTTACGGTATACTACTCCTTAGTTTTATTACACACTACGTTTCAACAAAATACATTGTCATCTTCAGGTGAAGTGAGGAAATATGGTACAAGAAGTTATATATATACACAAAAATATAACGATAGCAACACATAACTTCTTGTAACATATTTAATTAATTTTACTAAAATATTCCCCCTGATGAACCTGGCCTGAGTTTTCACAATCATAAAATATAAAAGCAGGATGAATATTTTTTAATTCAACAATTTATGTCTGATGAAATAATTTTAAATTTGATTATAATTTCTTTGGTTATAGCAAACAACTCATTGAGATACCACCTAATAAATTAATATAGAATATTTATTCTTAAAAAAAACAGAAAATCCATCCTGCTTTTATATTTTATGATTGTGAAAACTCAGGCAGCAAACAATATATTAATGTTTATTGACATTCGTCCATTGGCTGACCTACTTTTTCAATTTCCATTTTTCTGGGACGAAATCCTTATTTTTTAATATCCAGGAATTCCTGAAACGTCAAAAATTGGCCTACTCAGTATAAATATTTTTGCATAGAAAGATAAAATAGTGGGAACTTGAAATCGATGATCACCAGCTGAATTCTGAAACCGTAGACCTGTGAGCCTATCGTTTTGGCAAAACAGAAAGGGACCGACCTCTGTCTAATAATCGCTACTTGTCCAGTGGCAGAGCACCAAACTATGTTTTGGAGTACATACAATGTTTTATTGGTTTATTCAACTTTATTTTCCAGACCGAAAGAGACCGATAGATGCATTTTAGTTACGACCAAGAAAATTACCAACTAGTAATATCTGGTTTTGTGATTCTCCAGTGGGAATTCATTTATTACAGCGAACTGTAAAACGTATGTGCCAGAAAGTTGGATTCCAAGTAAATTTTACCAATCATTCCTTAAGAGCAACAGCTGCTACAAGACTATATGTTGCTGGCGTAGATGAACAATTAATAGTTGAAAAAACAGGACACCGTTCAAGTGTTGTGCGCACTTATAAGAGAACAAGTGATATCCAACAGGTTGACTTAAGCGGTATCCTTCGTGGTGAGAAAAAGGCAAAATTGGCTGTCATAGACCAAGATAGTCAAGATATAAGAAATCATCAAACAGAAAACAACCCTCAAGGACTTCAACGCGAAATAAACATTCAATCGTCGGACATTTCTACGGAGCCCCTAAGGCGCAATTGTAAACATATTTATTTATTATTTCGTTGAAACGAATTAGTTATTTCGTTAAAACGAATTAGTTATTTCGTTAAAACAAAATAATTATTTCGTTTAAACGAAATAAAAAGATGGATTAATTATTTCGTTTAAACGAAATAGACGAAAAAATTAATTCGTTTAAACGAAATAAACATAGGGTATTTCGTTTAAACGAAATAAAAAGATGGATTAATTATTTCGTTTAAACGAAATAGACGAAAAAATTAATTCGTTTAAACGAAATAAATGATGTTATTTCGTTTAAACGAATAAATTATTTCGTTTAAACGAAATAATTATTTCGTTTAAACGAAATAATAAATAAACATGTTTACAATTGCGCCTTAGGGGCTCCGTAGAATTGAGATTAAATAGATTCAAAGTTAACAGTTGGTGTAGTCATATTAAAATTATTTTTAAAGTAAGAAAAAGTCATTAAATTGATTCATTATAAATGTATATAAACAACTGATTGATATTGAAAACCTCACTTTATTTTCGTTCTAACGGAGGCCAACAACAGTGATATTAAAAATGGCATCTTGGCAATTCATTCTAGTTGGCTTTTTAGCCGCCGTAACTATATCTTCAGCAAGAGGTGAGTAACTTACTGCACCTATTTATATGAAAGCCGGCAGCGATATCAACTGTCGACTTTTCGCCCTCGAGAAAGCAAAGAAAATTGCGGGAAGGCGTTCTATTTAAATAGAAAGCCTTATATGGTCAGCAGTTGATTTAAATAGTAAGCTTATATTTTCTTTTAGGTAATGTTGACTGTGTTTAGTTTGCTTTCAGCTTTATTACCTCAGCGCTTAACATGAAAACAAAATATACCAGCTTCTGTACCTGTCTATAATAATTTATTTATTCAAAGTTTTAATTTTATAGATTGTGAATATGAAGGTCAAACTTTTGCTGATGGATCTAAATTTAAATTACCAACAAGTGGTAATTGTATTGAATATACTTGTACAAATGGTGGATTTAAAACCACCAAAAAAGGTAACTATCAAAAACATACCTCTTTAGTTTGTTAATAATTCATTTTTGCATACAAATTTCATGGCATCGAGCAAGGCTCGAGATATATATTGAGAATCAAGCACTCTCAACTCTTGAGGTATATGAATGTACGGTAATAACATTTAACTTGATCTATGAAAGAATTGTTTGATTGAACAATAATTGAAAATTGCAACTGAATACGATGGTATTATTCTTAGTAAGACCATAACTTCTTAGATCTTTGGCGTTGTATAACCAACTGAAATGTTATTTCTTCGTCCCCACCCGCCTCCTGTCCGACGTAAAACTAAACTAAAGCAGCGATTTTTAATTTTTAATTACAATATTAATGCTTTGCTTTAATTTTGACTGGAAGAAATACATCACAACTTCAGGTCAGTTTTTTAATGTCGCATTAACAATTGATAGTTAATGAAATATGTACACTCTTCCGTCGTCAGAGAACGGTCTTTTAGATGATAGTAGACAATGATGAACTCTGACCTTGAATCACACTACTAACAAAGGCCCTATTTGTGGTGTTCGATCGTTTGTATGCACGTATTGTATTACTTCTATGGCCTGTGGTCTTCGCTTTGAGCTGTTCATCAACACCGGATCTAAAGTTAGCTTGCCAGGCAACGTAACATACGCCCACTGGCAGCTACCAGAGATGATAACTAAATCTTTATTGACCAAAAATATATTAAAGATCTTCTTAATAATACCAAATTTCTCATATTTATTTAAGATCTTCATTATGCATTTGTCTTTTAAAAACCCAGAATATCTCATCAATTTAGGGTCAGTTAGTTTTTCCACAAATCTTTTTCAATCGACAGCAATAACCCAGACGCATTGAATTATAACACTCCTCTCGTATCTGAAATTTTCAAAGATATGTAATAACGTTTCATCAAATTCACACTAACTAACTAACGAACTTACTAACATAGACAAATTTGAACTTTAATGAGATCTCATTGATATATACCTGCATACCAAGTTTCATTAAGATCCATTAAAAACGGCAGTAACTCGAAAACCGTTCATCGAAAAATCGTCAAATTATCAATCCCAATGTTCATACTAAGTTTCATCAAATCCGTTGAAATTTGTAGCCTCTATTGTGCCCACAACAAAATTTTGACGCAATTATATGAAGTTAAGGGCAATAACTCAAAAACCGTTCATCGAAAATTTGTCAAATTTGAACTTGACCGCCATCTTATCAATCCCAAATCTCACACCAAGTTTCATCAAAATCCATTCAAAATTGCAGCTTCTATTGTGCCCACAACAAAATTTTGACGCGATTTTACTAAGTCAAGGGCAATTACTCATAAACCATTCATGGAAAAATCACCAAATTCGAGCTTGACCGCCGTCTTATGAATGAATGCTCACACCAAGTTTCATTACAATCAAATAAAGCTTTAGTCTCTATTGTGCCCACAAGATATGTTGACAGATGGACCGACGAACAGTATTACAAAACATATAATAACGTAACGTCTTTGAAGGTTTGTAGAGTATTTATTCGGGAAGGACATCAGGAACAATAAACATCAATACAGGTACAACAGAGGAACATCAACAGGAACATCAATACAGGTAAAATACAGGAACATTAATAAAATACAGGAACATCTAAACCACAAATACGCATTGAAATTAACTTTACAATATACTATAGCGACAAGGTTATAGACCTCTTATAAAATGGCGACCGTTGTCGGCACATGCATTGACGTTAGACCTATCAGAGTAATGACGCTCCAAAAGTTATCCGATTAACTTAAGCACTGATGTCATCAGTTTGTGTGGTCCCGTGAATCTTGAATGATCTCGTGAATCTTGGACCATAAAAAAATAATATCTTGCAGCATGATTTGAAGGTCTTGGTATATACATACAATTCTTCGAACATAAATAGAAAATTTTAAACAATATATTTTTAAATATAAATATAAACATTTCTTGGTAAATAAAAAAAAACTTCTTGGTAGATAAAAACATGTAACACTAAATAAAAATTCCTGAAACATAATTAAAATTAGTGACATTATTATTTTCGGGAATAAAAATAAAATATAGTTCTTGGGAACTAACTGATTTTTTTCACGTTGGATTTTTTTCTGTTTTAGCATTGTACATAAGATCAAAATCATATCCCATAAGTATACTAATAATAATTGCGGCTTGATTGTTGATCACGACATGACAATGCTCCTTATCCTCCTTACATACATAGTAAAATGCTAATGTTTCGCATCGAAACAATACTCTCTTTAAGTTAATAAAATATGCAATTAATATCATAATAACAATGAGATCCTGATCATTTGTCACACCTTTGAATAATTTTTTTCGAGGACTAGCCATAGATTCGGCACAGAAACAAATGATGCATGATTGTTACTGTAATAGTATCGTAGTCACAGATTGTGCTGAATAAGGTATTATACTGAAGTGGATTGCAGACACATTTCGGGGCGTAGAGAAGAACCGCATAGATATGGCCCATTTGCAAAAATTCATGCTTCATCATTTAACGATCGAAATACGACACTTCTATTTGTAACAAAATAATGTCAACTAATAAATGTCCATTTTCGTAAGAAATACCGCAAACCCGAGCTTTAAAAATTATCTGTTAGTTAGGAGAATCTACTAGTACGACCTTGAAAATTTAGACCCAATGACACTGGAATAAATATTACAAATGCAAGTATTTCATCACTAGGTAGTGTCACTGTTGTGGGGAAACGGCGACATTACCTCTCAATATGATGGTGTGTGCGTTTTGCCAACTTGGTGGGTTTTGTTCGTCCAGACAAGATGTGTGTTATTTACAACGACAAACTTTTCAGATATACTCGAGTGTCATGGAGACAAGAATACATTTGAGGTTAAAGGAAGGCTTCTACTGTTGTATTTATTTTTTGTACTAGTATTAAAATTGCATTTCAAGAATCAGTTAGTTTTATAACACTACCGTATAACTTTTATTGAAAATACTTAATTAATAGCAAGACCTCTACATGATTAAAAAGTGCTAAAACTCCACAAAATTTTGTAATTTCGGTCCAAACAGCAAAAAACTGGTATGCAAATAAAAAAAAAAGTAATTTGATTTCTCAGAGTGTTGAGTGTAATTACGTGCATCAAACCTATCATTATTAACAAAACAACTGGAAATGAATTAAATAGCCTTAAAACAAGTGCATGTTCATTAAATGGGGCGTGTTTCTATTATTAATCGATTACATAATCCATTATGCCTCTCCGATTATTTCGAGTAATCGATTATTATTTTCATCCGATTGCCCATCACTAAATTTATATAGCCTTAAAACAAGTGCATGTTCATTAAATTGGGCGTGTTTCTATTATCAATCGATACATAATCGATTATGCCTCTCCGATTATTTCGATTATTATGTTCATCCTTTTGCTCATCACTAAAAATACTATGTAATGATGCACTTATTTACCTGAAGGTCAAACTGGGTGCAAAACGTTGATAACAAATTAAGTTTACTCTGAAGGTCGGATTTAGATTCAATACTTTAGTCGTCTGCATAAAATAAAATAGAGCCTTCAACCTCTTGGTTTATGAAAATACCATTAATATTGGAAGAGTTTTCTAATAGTAAATTAGTCGGTTAATATACATACAAAACAGAATTTGACTCGGAATACAACATTGTCGAACTCCAGACAGGCGAAATATGGATTTAAATTGAAACCTGGACACAAGACGAGTACATATTTCTAAGAACGTGACCATTTTGCCATGTACACCTTTACCTTGTAATAAGTTAAAAAGCTTTATTCTGTTTAAAGGGTTATTCCGCTTTCTTGTAAAACATTTTCATTATCAAAAACGTCGTAAATTATAGCCTAACTGAAAATATTTCTAAGATATGCTATTTATATCTATGGATGGATTTTTTTAAGTTAAAACTTTCAGATACGTTGTGGGATATATTTCTGTAGAT